TACAAGAAAAACTTTGGGACATCCTCATATTTTTACTGTGCAATACCTGTTCCTCACCACCATAGCTGGGCAGATGAAGAAACAGAAAAAAAAGATAAAAGGACCCTTACAGAAGAAACTCCGTCAGGACAGGACAAAGGCAAGGCAAGGACCTAAGCCACCAGAAAAATCAGCTCAACTCATTTTATTACAATTCAGGCAGGCTCAAAGTGATTCTTAACAATACGTAATAAGCTGGTTGTCAGCAAACCATACATTCACAAACAGCATCAGCACAGCAATAGGTGAAAGGTGATGCAAGACCCTTACTAAGTGCTCATAAACACCCACTAGATTGCAAACACACTTCAAACTCCTGTTCCCAGCACCTCATACCCACCCACACAATCATGTGGTTATGTCCAGATCCTTCTCAGCCTCCAGGCATGGAATGTATGGATTACAGAATCACAGAATCACTCAGGTTGGAAAAGACCTTAAAGATCATGGAGTCCAACCACAACCTAACCATCCTACCCTAACTCTAACAACCCTCTGCTAAATCATTGCATGACATCCCCACTCCTAGAAAAGTGATTTCTCTGCAACACAAGTGCAGTGTTGGATACAAAGGTGCTTGAACTTTAAGTGCACCCAGACTGCTCCATACATTCTGTACACACTCACCCTGGTGGGGGGAACTGCCTTATGGTCCTTCTACACACCCAAGGCTGGTCCCTATGTGTTGCACTCATTGTGCACCCTGCAAGATGCAGTGCAGCATCTGGTGGTGGGAGACTGCTCTTCCACGCTGTGCTAGAGGAGAGACCTTCAGGGCTGCTTCCTTCACTGCCAAACCTGTTCTGAACAGCTGCCCTCCAAAGCTCCCCCACCATCACATTTTAACAGTTGTTATCTATTTCTTTTGTAGCTAAATCATCCTCCGCTGAAAAAAATGAAACTCTTTATAGTCCCCTGGTTACCATTCAAATCTGGCTGCCGGTCCTTCTTAAGCTGACTTCATCACTATTGCATTTGTTGTGGCATTGCCAGCCTTTGAGCAAGCTCCCACTCAGCACCTACGATTCTGCTCCTGTTACACTCACACCTCTGCCATATCAGCTGTCAGTATCAGGGCCACATTGTCAAGAGGAGCATTTGCTTGCCTCCTCAGATTTTTGTGTGTAAACCACCTACTGCATGGTGGAGTCAGGCTCACCACAGCCACTGCATACTGCTCATGTATTTTTATACTGGGCAAACAGTTAAAAAGTGCCCGAGGCATCTACAGTGCCTTCTGAGCTATCTTATCAAGTCCCTCTTCACTGTGCATGAAGAATAGAAACAGCTTCAATGCTGTATTGGGCCATCTTTCATCACTGAGCTCTGTTTGAGTTTAGATTTGAAAGACCTAATGTTTTGCCTTGTCTTCACGGTGCCCTGACTCCTTCTCCCTGACACTCCAGAGCTACATCTCTGACCTCTGATGTGTTATTTACTGCTGTGGCATCTCCACTCTCATCGCTGTACCCATCTCTTATCATCCCACACTTGTTGTCCTTGACACAGCATCCTCTATCTCCTTTTCTCAAGGTATATGTTGTCATAGCAAACCTGTATTTCTCTGCACTACATTATGTTAAACAGATAAAATCATGCAAAGTTTAAAAAAAAAAAAAAAAGAAAGAAAGAAAGAAGAAGATGCACATCAAATCAGCCATAGGCATTTGGTCAGTTAGAGAAAATGCTGTTACAGCTGAATCATGCGAAACAAGTTGCTGGCACATCAAGATAAGTCCAGGCAGCACAATCCTGGTGGGTCCTGATCCTTACAAATTTAGCAAAAGCAAGACTGTATTATAAGGCCATACAGTAAAAGAGTGCAATGTAAGACTGGCCAAAATAGCTCTTGATCAAAAGTTCACCTGGCCCAGGGTCTCACGTCAAGCTATGGCCAGAAGTAGATATCTGCAGGACAGCTCAGGAGCATGGAAAGCATGGAGCAATCCTTCCTTAGAATATTCAACCATCTTCCTAAGGCCTGCACCTCAGTGCTGCCAGAAAAGTAAAATAAGTGCTACATGCCCTAAGGCTACTGACAAGGATGCCGCTTTTCCAGTCTCTGTGCAGGAAGAAGAAATTTAAGGGTCAGTCTTGAATGTGGTGCTTACATCTTCTCTGGGGGAGAGTAAATGGAAGAGTTCTCATGTCAGGGAGATCACTCCCAAAGGAGTTTGTGGGTGTTCTTCAGCTGTTGCTTTTAAGCCTGTGTAGTGCCAGGGTCTGCATACAGTGCTCTGGCTGAATTCATCTTATGTACTCTTTAAGGACAGAGTTATCCTAACAGACAGAACAGCTCAACAGAGGAGACAGGCAGAAATATCCAGGGTTTATATTTGCTGCCTATGCATAGCTGTTTGTAGGCAGGATATTGGAGGTAAGATCTGAATTTCAAGCAATGATGTTTTGTCAGACTCACCCCAGCAGCTGAATTTGAGCTGAGGCTAAGAGGCCATTAATCATATACTGTTGCCCTTTGCTTCTTTAAACTGTGCTTTCACCACCACTCCCTATTTTGATTTCCCTACTGAAATAGATGGAGCAAGTGTATAGGTTGTTTCGGCCCCAGGAAGCTGAGGTCATAATCTCCTGTTTGGTTTTTCTTACACAAAGAACATAACTGTAAAAGCTGGAAAACTCAGTATCTCAAAATTCACTTTCAGAAGGAATCTCCCTGTGTAACTGCAGTGACAAATGGAGAACGTTTTCTTCTATTTCGCACCTTTGTTCTGAGGCAGGAAACAGCATGCTGTGAGAAAAGCAACTTTTAAGTCTTGCAGTAGCAGCCTGATACAGTCCATGAATGAGGTGGTTTGGATCAAAAGGAATTTCACATACCAACCAAACTATCACAAATCACAGCCATAGCAGGATTTTAATGCCCTGGATATAAAAATACAATAAGGTGTGATGGTTGTCATGGTGAATTTCCATCACACTGGGCACTAGCAGTTACTTGAGAATAATGATTCAGAAGTTGAAATGCAATATGTTGTTTCAGAAGGAGGTATTTTTAAAAGCCACTTTTTCCTGTGTTATATAAACTCTTTTTTTTTTTTTTTTTTTTTCAGATTGTGTCCCCTTATTTATCATGGGAGCTTAAAAAAATAGACTGAGTGTACATGAATACCTTACTTGTAAAGAAGCAAACCCTCTCTTTATAGACCTGCCAACAGATCTCATCTTCCTGAGCTACCAGGAAAGACTTCAGATATCTCTAGTATCCCTTTGGCATGACATAAAATTTTAATGCACAGTTATCTAAAGAACAATAAGTAATAACGGTTCCTTCTGAGAGCAGCATTGAGATTTTTTTAACTTTGAAGAGGAATCTTGAGGACAAACTACAGTTTACCTTCTGAGAGAAGGTGGGCTGGATTCATCTACAGTGATAACAGAGATCAGTTGTAACCGTGACAGTTGTACTGTGATTTTGTCATTCATCCAGGCTTGTGTGATGATACATTTCCTTGAAAAATACTCAGAGTTGTTGTTTGCACTCTAGACATTGCATTGAAGACAGATGTACCCATCCATGTTATCAGGATTTGCAGAGTGCGACTTTACTTCTCAACTGGTCCCTGAAAGTGCATTAGAACTGGCATGATGAGCTGCATGCATGGAGATGTCTGCCAAATGCAAATTCTCATAGCCATAATGATAACAGCTGCATGATTCTCTAACATTTGCCAACACGGGCAAGGACACAATCCATCCACAGAGCAGACCATTGCTTTTGCCTTGCTCTGTGGCAGGGTGATGTTATCACGAACACAAATAGAACTTAAGAGTCTCTTACCAGAAATAGAAATTAGAGTCAATATTTCCAGGTGTAGCAAGCTGACACTTTATATCCCCAAAGTGTCTGCATAAACAGGTAACTCTACCGCAGTTCTCCTCTGAGTAGCATGTACTTTTCTGTAGCAAATATGCAGAACCATGCAGACTCTGCACACCCCATAATCTGTCAAAGTTCCTTAGTAAAAGATAATAATAAGGTAATAAGTCAGAAAAGGAGCCTCAACCTCTTCCACCTTCTTGCTCTTCCACCCAATTCTGGTGACCAGTGAAGAAGTGAAAAGAAAAAGGGGCTCCAATTCTGTTACTGAAGTCAGTTTCAATAGCCGTGTCCTTTCCTGGCAGAGATTTATTTGAGGATGTGTTGTTAGCATGTGTGGGAGCATCAGTTTCCCAAAATATCCTAAAAATGAAGCATTTGCTCTTGAGTTGCCTTGGAACTTATCTTGTCAATATGTGTGCATCTGGGATAATTTTTCAGGTAGCATTACACCATCCCACTGCAAAGAGAAAGCTAAGGGAAACACCCTCCCATAAACATGTGTCTCACACCAGCAACAGAATCAGACAGCAGGAAATGAAATCACCCTACAATTTCCATGCTGGCATCCGAGGATGGGGACTAGCCCACAGCCCTGTTTCACCAATGGCTGAGTCATGAGGTGGTGTCAGGATCACAGTTACTCAATGAATGATTTGCCAGGTCTAGCACTTTGCTCTAGGTGGTGTCTGGAGAAGTCAGAGGCAGTGGGGATCAGACTTGTCAGGAAGGTCTCAGTCAGAGATATCCAGACTATCACTGCAGGAAAAAAATGGAATCTTATAATACCTGAATCATCCACATGAAAGAATATGAGAAATTCTATGTGGGACAACTGCCTAAAAACCATACGTAGATCCATCCAGCACTATTGCATCTACTGGTGATGTTTCACAAGATCAAGAAAGCATTCCATGTAAATGTTTTTTGCACAGCCCTCTCTAATTACCCAAAGTACCAGCTCAGAGAAGAAATCTGGGGTTGACTAAATGAGCCCATGACCAATTCCTACTAAACTAAACAGAAAATATCTCTGAAGAAGAAAATTAAGATAAGGTAAAAAATAATGGTTTTGAAACTGAAAAGAAAAAGAAAAAAAAAAAAAAAGAGCTTCTTGGATAAATGCACTTGAAAATACCTGGAAAAGTAAGGTAAGGCATGGATGCATAGGAAGGAAAGAACTGTTTCTGATGGGTAACCACCTTATCTAGAATAACAGTTCAGAGCAACCTCATCTAGTGTGTGGCAATCCTGTCCATGGCAGGAGGGTTGGAACTGAATGATCTTACAGATCACTTACGAACTAAACCCTTCTATGATTCTATGTTCTATGAATCACGATGAAATAGAAGACAGAGTAGGAAATCATTCTCAGCAGGAGATGGAAACAAGACTTCATAGGATGAAATAACAAGGAAAGTTTTCTTTTAAAACTCAGCTCTTAATTCAGCAGAAAATCAACAATGACCAGCATTCAACGGTTTCTGGTCCTTCAGGCTAATAACTTCCCATGAAGCCAGATGTCTGAAGGACTACTTTGAAGCATAAAGTAGAGCAGAGAGAAGGACATTTCTCTGAACATCAAAACACATCCTCCTATCATAAGCAAAAATATCACTGAATCCCGTCAGTAAATCCATGGAAAGGAGAGTTGTTTACCATGTTATCTCACTATTTTCATTTTTGTGGTCACCATATCTGACTGACAAAGTAAAGAGAACTGGTGAGCTTGGTTCAAGGTCTTTATCTTGAACAAAATCAGATGAGAGCCAGGAATGAAAACTGTGTATGAGGCAATACATTACAATTATGATCTCAAAAGGAAAGGGTTACGTCCTTCTTCCTCCTATTCCTACTGTCAGAACTGTGTCCTCTGTTGTACCAGCAAAAAGCATACTTCAGGCATATGGAGAACTGAAATAAGGATGGTGTCTGGGTTTGTGTCTGGAACAACCTCCTTAGGTTAATGTGTTTGTGAAACTACAGCCTACATCTCACAGCTGTATGTAAAACAAGGAAGTGTGTAAGATAATGCAGAAAGACAGGAAAAAATAAACACCAGTAGAATTAAAGTCTCAGTTAGAAGTGGATTGAAAAAAGCAATCAATTCACTCTGACAAATTCAGGTGCTAATTTCAGAACAAGCCAATTAGTTAACCTGTCCTGTTGCCTCAGAGGAAGACATGGGTTTTGCTGAAGCCACCCCAGTGCTGTATGGATCTGGAGATTCATACAGCTGGGGTGACGTGGGAAGACCCGGTCAAAGCCTCAGACACTGCTGCAAAGTGCCGACAGCGAACAGACACAATATAGGGAACGGAACAGACAGAGGCACTGCGGAAAACCCGGATGCCATTGCTGGGATTGGAGTTCTGCAGATGACGCTCGCCCGTTGTGACGTCACTGGCACCGCTCCCCTACGTGAGGGATAGTGACATACGCAGCAGGGGATTGTGACCTCTTGGCCCTGGCTGCCTGTAGCCGGGCACAGAGTCTCTCACTCTGGCTTGTGCCCGCACTCCAGCCGAGCGTGTCCGTGAGGTTTGGAGTGAGGAGCAAGGATAGCCTTGGTGCTGGTCTCGTGCTCTGGGAGCTGCCGACAGCCGCTCTCAGTGCTCGTCACTAGAGCTTCTTCCCCGCCCTGCCTGGCTCAGGCAGCCGGGGCACCCAGGAGCCCACAGCAGCAAAGGGAACCGGTAAGGGGACACCTCACCGGGGGCGGCCCAGCTGGGAGGGTTTCCTTCCTGAGGGACCCAGGCATTTGTTCCTCCACTGGCGGGCTCAGCAAGTGACCGTGGCCTCTCTTCTTTTCCTAGCGTGACCCCTACTGCTGCAGCAGCGGGGTGAGGAGCAGCCCCTCATCCCCTTCGCACTCCTGTCCACCCAGCAGCTGGACAGCATGGCCACCGAGCTGGACCGTCGCTGCCCCATTTGCCTGGACACCATGGATGACGCCAGCTACGTGATGCCGTGCCTGCACCAGTTTTGCTTTGGCTGCATCCAGCGGTGGGCTGAGAGCAGGCCCACGTGCCCCCTCTGCAAACGCAGGGTGGAGTCCATCCTGCACTCGGTGCGTGCCGACGACAGCTTTCAAGAGGTTGTCGTCGGACAGCAGGTGAGGGCCAGGACAGCTCCGCACCACACAACAACAGCAGAAGAGCAGCCAGCGGCGGTGCCCGCCTGGGCGTCCATTTCCCGCCAGCCTCCAGCTGTGCTCCAGCCACTGCTGCCCTGGCTGCACCAGGAGCTGGGGCAGCTCTTTGGGGCTGACCACAGGGCAGCCGCTGCAGCACAGCGCCGCGTCATCTCTGGCCTGTGCTTCTTAGGTCTGGATGAGGGAGCGCTGACTTTGTGGCTGCTATGCTCCCTGCGAAGCCAGACCACCAGCTTTGTGCAACGGCTCGTCGTGCAAGCTGCATATGTGTGCAATGGGCTGGTGCCACCCACTGGCCCGGAGGCCTCCCACGCTGCCACGGGACAGGAGGGCAGCCCCGCAGCTGCCCGTGGTGCAGCTGCCTCCCAGGCACAGACACCTGTCTCCGGTCCACGGCCCTCCAGCAGCACCGGTGAAGACAACGTTCCTGTGCCCTCAGCCGCTGCCCTCAGTGAGGGGCCCAGCCAGCCTCCATCCCTCCCGGCTCCATTGCGGACCAGCCAACAAGCAGCCCAGGAGGAGCCAGGGGAGGCAGTGCCGGGTCCCTCCAGCACCAACAGGGCCAGGGAGCGCTCACGCAGGGCGCCTCGGCGAGCCCCGAAGAGGAGGGCCCACGACTCTGAGGCCTCTGCACCTCCTGCCAAGAGGCCACCCCGCCGGCAGCGCTAGGACACCGCCCCAGCAGCTGGCGAGAACAGGGCCGGGCCTGCAGCTGGGGCACAACCAGCTGTCAGACCACAGAATCACAGAATGGTCTGGGTTGGAAGGGACCTCAAAGATCGGCAATCTCCAACCCCCCTGCCACAGGCAGGGCCACCAACCTCCACACGGAACACCAGACCAGGCTGCCCGAGGCCCCATCCAACCTGGC